TGTGTGTGTGTGTATGTGTGTGTGTGTGTGTGTGTATGCATGTATGTATGTATGTGTCCATTGTTCCAAATAGCCGAAGAAAATTCGATCAGTCAGCTGTAACCTGCCGTGAAATGGGGCGGGGTGCGGGCACAACGATCGATTAATATCCGCTGCTCACATATTTTGTGCAGTAGTTGAAGGGAGCTTGTAAGTTATAGTGTCCATGTCTTCAGGGCATCAAAGGCATTTGGTTTTGTCCCCTAAAAGGACCATATCATCCATGGTGTGCTCCATTCCTCACAAGTAATGTGGCTCTTTCTGCTAACTATATGAAAATATGGAATTCCTCTGAGTAGTTGTTGACTATTTCCTCTTTTTATTCATTCGAACTACATTTACGTTTACAATTATAACTACCTTTTTCAAATAATGCTCTTAAATGAGCTGATAGCAATGGTAGACATTTGTTATCCTCACAAGGAGAACAGCCTAATCTTTCTTTTTTTTCAACATTCACTACTGCTATTGTACATTTAGAGTGTTGGAAATTAGTTTATTGGAATGTTCAGAGTAGATTAGCTAATATTGCAAAGATGAAGTTCCATATATTCATATGAATTTTTCAGCTCTCTATGTCAATATTTATACTAAAGGGTAGATATTTATTTCAACTCATAGCAACTCACCATCATTTTTAAGCATTATAAAAGGAAGGAAGTTGAAAGAATGACAGCTTTAAATAAATGTTTGCTTTGCACTTCAAATCGATTGTTATTCTAGATTTTAAGATTTTTGTTTCTCTGGACTAATTCTATATTGTAAATACATGGCAAGCAATTGTTGTGTAATATTTTAAGAACAAACTTTGACGACATTATAATTTAGGTAACCTTGTCATCTTCGTTCGAGTTTGGACAGAACTGCTCGTTTTGACATGCTTTAATGAACAAATGATTTCATTTTTACTATCATAACTGTTTCTCGAAAGTTCTAATTTTTCATATTATTCTTTTTAATCTGTGCGCTAATTAAATATCGGTATTTCAAAGCTCCTAATTTAACATGTTTATCATCTCTGCTTGCTTCAAACAAAGATGGTAATCATGTTTAGTATTGATTAATGTTGATTATTATTGAACAGAGATTGGTAACAGTGGCTGTGGATAGCGATTAGGATATTTAGGATCAATGAGTATTTTATATTTTATTTAAATTTTGTGTAAACATTTTAGTTCATTTTAAGACATCTTCCAGTTGGAGAAATCTTACGAATTTGTATAAAAATTATAATGCATATCAGAGAGAAACTTGATGTATCAAGATTGGGAAAGAGAATGAAAGAAGTTGGTAGTAATCTTGATGCCATCTATCAACTGCGCTTAAATTATTTTTAAATTTTGCAGTATGTTATTTAGCGTGAAGCACAAATGGTCATTTTTGGGAGACAAGACTGATCGTGGTTTGTATTATAATTTTTCCTTAATTCTCTCTTTCTCGTTGATGAATAAAAACGATGCAAAAAATTACACTATCTCGTGCCATTCATTCTCATCGCCTTATATCCAGTTCCTTCATTTGTTTTATTGTGTCCAGTACAAACTTCATTCTTGACAAGAAAGAGAGAAGTTGATGATATTGCCTTCGAGAAGTTGCTTGTCATTGAAACAGCCTTTTTTTTTATTTTTAGATAATTCCTAGCACCGTATAGTTACTTATGATTTTGAGAGACAACTGGGACTTTCAAGATTGGAGGAGGATGGGATATTTTAGAGCTTTTCTCTTTTATCTTCTATATTTCAACATTTTACTTTTTTTCCATTGATCACTTTCTTCCATTGATCACCTAGTACTATTCAAGAATTATTGAACTGATTTATTCAAATATTGTTAAATCCTAATATTTGCTCAACCAACGAACATAAAAAGAATACAACATTCATAAATAGAAAGAAGAACTGGTTAAATCTTTTGTAAAGTATACTATAGTATTTCAATATCTCTAATACCTGTCCTGTAATACGATTTTAATCTTTAATCTACTGTTATTCAAGTTATATGCATATTATTTAGGATTTGTTAATTAAAAGAGACTCAGCCGTACGAGATACCAATCAGGTTATCCGTTTCAGTAATGCCATCTTTACTTGTCATTACAACTATGATTGTGTCAAACTGTGGGAAGACTGAACTTAACCTTTTTTGTTAGTACTCTATTCTTATATAACATAGGCCTCTAATAAGATAATTTGGAACTGAAAATCTGTGACATGTAGCATTCATTTGGAGAAGCATGTAGCTTAAAAATATTTATCTTCGGAAATATTTGGAGAGTGAAAATAATTACTTTTCTGAATATTTTAGAAGCAGAGCCAATCATAAGATTACGTAATTCGAGCATAGCTGAAAGAGTGCAACCACTATTATATCTAAATATAATTCCGAAAGAATTTTGAAAAAATCAGCTTCCGAAGTTGATTCAAGAATTACATGAAAATCAACTGAAAGCGGAAAACTGTGTATTGTAAAAACACTTTTGTTTATTCAAGAAATATTACATTTCTTTTTAAATGTAATCGCTTAATCTGTTCAAATCATAAAATTTCGACGAGAAAATTATTGCCTCCATTTAAATTTCTAGAATCCAGTTATCAAAGCTGCATATTTATGACATTTATGAGTATTCCCTCATTGTCCCTATTAATTTCCTCCTTGTTTTCGTCACTCTTTTCAAACCGTACTCATTTCTCCACATTTCATGCCTCCGGCAATTTTCTGTCTATTCAATGGAGCAGTGGGGAAATGTTGAATGAAATTTTGATAGTTTCCAGTGAGGGAAGGAAAATTTTCAAAATGGCATGTTTTCAGGAAGTCTATTTGGAAATGAAAAGAATTAAACTTGATGTCACTTGAAAAGAATATTTCGAGACGCAATTAGGACCTCGGAAATTGTGCCGCATTTTTGTTTCAGAAATATGACTTTAAAGAGTGCGCGAAATTCAATTCTGGCTTATTGATCTGTATGAGATATAACGTAAACTAAAACTTACTTCTTTGGAGTATATATCTATCCTTATGTTTACCAAACGAAAGTTTTGCTTCAAATATCCACTATCTCATATATCATGCAATGATGGTGCAGGTCTTGGCTGATTGGAAGCATTAGTCTGGGTTAATCAATATGATGCTTTATAGGCTTAAAGTTTTTATTATTCTAAATTATTATGCTTCAATATGATGAAGTTATCAGATTAGATTATATTAAAAAAAAATGTCCTAATCGTTAAAGGGATCAAGTTTATAATACTGACAATCGATTTTATAACACTGGTACTATTGGATAAAAGGATAAGCTCATTTTAGCTTTCAAGCATATGGGAATATCATTGATGTTTCGATGTTTGCATAGATTCATGTAGTTAACTATCTTAATTATTGCTACCTTGAGTGTATTCGATTCAGCATTTCGGGATTCATTTTAAAAATATGATTTGTGTCACTTTATTAGTTATTAATTATTATTAATGACTGAATTGTTTATTGTTAGCTAATCAATCATTTATCTGATAGCGAAAGTTACATCCACGTAGATGGATGAGAGCAAAAAGCAAAGATTGAGTGAGCGAGGCAATTAAGCTTCTATTACGTTACATTATCTGTTTACTGTCGGCACTTTTCAAAAAGCATTATGCTTATTCATACATTCATGTGTGAGTGCCATATGAGTTTGGTTGTTGGGAGCATTTCATTCGGCCGCTCTGGAAGGAAAATCTGTATGTGTTTTGTTTTCCTCCATATTTTCTGTACCTTTTACTAATTTCGAATCTAAATTCTTTTTCTATGACTTATTGGCGTGTGTCGGTCTGTTCGAGAGAGAATTTCCTTTCGTCTCATGCTAAATTGTGATAAGTTAATGAACGACGAAAAAAGTCAACAAATAAAAAGTCAATATTTGAAAAGAAGAGAATGAAGGCAAGAACTGAGAGAAAGAGAAAGAGGACGAGATCATTTTTTTTTGTTTCACAAAATGGGTGAAAATAGGTTAGAAGAAAAAACGAAAAAAAATGCGAATGACAGGAAGAAGAAGTAAGGAAAATAGGAGGAAAGTCGTGTCACTCAGACAACAGATGAATTTCAAATCAGAAGTAGAGCTGAAAACTGAGTAGGCAATATTTTTATTTAAAATTAGAATCTAAAAATTAGTAGAAAACGTTTTAATCCTCACAATATAGCTGCAGACGGTAAGAATTAAAACGTTTTTTTACTGTTTTCTGTTATTTTATATTTCCTATAATAGTTTGGCTCTTCGTTTATTGAAAATTTATTTCATATTTTTCTGCAACAGAGGAGAACTCTAACAGTAATGATTAATATCCTCCTTTATTTTCAATATTTCATTCCTTTTTAGATTTCCAAATTAATCATCTTTTTCTGATTGTTTCGTTTCAGCATCCTTCTAATGACAGACAGTGAACATCGTTAGGAATGATTCAAGTCCGCAAGCATTTTATTTTCAAAATTTATTCGTCCTCTTCAAATTTTGGATCAATTCCTATCTTAGGTTTTCCTGTCCTTTATTATTTTCATTTTATTTAATTTAGACTTATCGTAGCACGCGCGTTGAAAGCCTTATTAATATATGGAATTGCACATGAGAGAATCCTTCAAAAATTTTTATCAGTGCAGTCATTATTCGGAAAAGAAAAATGAATATGAGACACATTCATTTCTCTTCCCCGAATAATAAATGCAAGATGAAAAAGAATAAATTTCGGTCATGTTATCATCACAGCTTTCTAACAATGATCCAGAAACGATTTTTGCTTGCGTATCACAGTTTTTCAGTGCGAAACATTTTGTTCAGCTATTATATCTTATAATAATTTCAATACTAGATGGATTTGGATGTAGCGTTACAAAAGGCGTCAGAAGATGAGGGAGACAGTCAGTACGATGAAGTATACCCGGGACGGGTACTTAAGTTAGTGTTACATTACTTATTTTCATTTTCATACCTGTTTCAGTGTTGGTTACAGTTCAGACCTTAGCATAATCTCGTGCGGTTCTTTCTAAACAGAATTACACACTAGTTCAGTACTTGATTAATGATCTTTTTTTCATTCATGCAATAAGTTTGAAAACTTTCATCTTTTGAAATCATTTCAAATTAGCTCAAATTAGCAAATTAGCCTGTTTTTCTCCTTCCGTTTCTTTCTTAGTTAAGACGAGAAATGTTTGGAAGAATGTAGTTAGCTTCAAATAACATATTTGTTTTATATGATTTTGCAAAATGTTTTTTGTCTATGAAATTTTATAAAGATTGGAATATTATGGAAATGTGCACTGACGAGAGGATTTCTCTTCTGCCATATGATCCAGGTTTAGCATATTTCCTGGCGAACACAATTTAAAGTGGATAATTTTAAGCTGTTAATGGGATTCTTGTAGACTCTTGTAGATACTCTGTGAAATGATAATTTCTATATAAGGTAAGGAATACTGATTAATTTAAATGAATTGAAATGAAATGTTTATGTTATATTTACTATAACTTCTGATATTTTAGGGGCGAAAATACACCAGGGAGCGCTAAAATTCGATACATCAGGGGATGTCGTGAACCAAAAACATTCGCACGTTACACTTCCAGTCTAAAAAATATGATACCATTGCGGCCTTCTCATAAGTAAGTTTATTCTAGATTAATAAATATTTGCTCTTCATAGCAGTTTCGAGAGATATTCATTTAAAATTCGAATTTTCTTAAATTTCATTATCAGAATTTATTGAAACATTATGCACAACCGAACTTTATGCAAACATTTGTAAGTTATTTACAGACACGACCATTCAAGTGCAAGTAGAGTTGACGAGTCGGGTTTATTTTCATTTATAACGTTCAGTTGGATATTCCCATATTTGTGGGCTGCTTTTAGAGGTCACTTAAGTCAAGATCAAGTATGGAATTGCAGCATTTATGATGCATCCAGTGTTAATTTGGCAAGGTAACCTTCATTTCTAGTGCTTGTTTTCTATTACGAAGTGTTAGTTCATTTAGTAAATTTTGCCCTTTGACGAATTTTGATTTTATTTTTGTCGTATCACTTCTGTCAACTTTATTACCGATATTTCGGAATCAGGCTTTTGCTTCAAAAGCATCATGCTAGGTTGAAAGGCGGATGAATTCTTCAAGTTCAAATTTGAGCAAAGTAAATTGATTTTAATCAATCAGTTTTAGGTTAGAGTATTTGTGGAAGCAAGAACTTCTGCAGCGACCAAACAGGCCATCACTTTTTCGAGTCGTGTGTCTGTTCCTTAAGACGAGAATTTGTGTTGCTTGTTTCGTCTTCCTACTCTGTCTGCTTTGTGGCTTCATTGGTCCAGTGTGCTTTGTAAAGGGGTTGATATCATTTGCAGAGCAACCGCCTCTTTATAACATATATCCCAATCTTGGTTTTGGCATTTTCTTGGCTTTTGCCATTCTTATAGTAAGCATTTGTTTCATAATTTCAAATTGAAAGTTACTGGGAAAGTTATTTTCAGGTTATTTTAGCGCAGTTTTTAACATTCATTTGCATTTTCAGGTTCCTCCTATTTTAGTCTAAGAATAATTGATTTTTCAAAATTCAGTAAATTTATACTTTTTAGGTCGAAACATTTCGAGTACTCTTATATGGAGCTACATGGGCTGTAAGCTATCGAACAGGTATCAGAGTTCGTGGAGCCTTATTGGCTTTACTGTACAAAAAACTGATCGGTGTACGCTCACTGGGAACAAAAACTGGAGCAGAGGTTTGTAGTTAATCCAAATCAGTATAAAAAAAAATGAGCAATGCTAATTTTATAACAGTTTTGAAAGATTCAGTCTCTTATAAATGTTGCTTGATAAGCAGGAGATAGTTTTCATTTTTTGGTTTATGTCTTACTGATTCATATCCATTTTCTACCGGAGGATCTAGAATAATAGATTAATACGTTGTTAGTTTTGGTAAGATTTTATTGCATCAGATCTTATTTCTGGTTTGTTTTTATTTTTCTCGGCGAATAGTGGGTTTTTTATCAGATAATAAATATTTTTGCGAATGATGGACAGCGTTTACTTGATGCGGTTTCATTTGCACCATTGGTATTGGTTGGACCTTTGGTACTCATTGCTGGAATAATCTATCTTTTAACTGTCATTGGACCATGGTCATTACTAGGAATACTCACATTCATTGTTTTTGACACCATGCAGGTCACTGTTTAAAAATTTTCAATTCGTCACTTTTTTTCTTAAGCATATATTTCGTTTAAACATACATTGCTATTTATGATTAATAAACAAATTTTTTTGCGAGGTTTTTATTTAGTTTCTTAGTTTGTTGTATCGATTTTTAGATTGTTCTTGGCAAAATGTTGATACGCTTCCGAGCTTCAGCAATTAAAAAAACTGAAAAACGGGTAAAATTTTTACTTTTAGCAATTTGCATTAGTATGACAGGAAGGATTATTGAAAATTTTAGAAATAAAAGTATTGAAAGGAAATTTTTTTTTTGTTTTTAGCATTTCTGCTTTTATTAATTTCCTCTGACAGTAAAATATAATGGAATGTAATGTTAAATTTGATTAAGTTAAAGAAAAATAGAAAATAGTAATAAGAGTTTACCTTTCATAGTACTATATATTTTAAAACGCCTAGGATTTTCTTACTCCTTGATTTGTATTGTGGTATATTATAAAATGCTACCAATGAAGACCTATCCTTTAAAAAAATTAAACTTTTTATTGGTCAGAAATTCATTTTTGCTTTTTAGAAATAAATCTCACATGCCAATATTACAATTTTTCAGATAAATTTATTGGGTGAAATAATCCGTTGCATTCGACTTATAAAAATGAATGCTTGGGAGGAATCGTTCACTAATGCAATAAAAGGTTAGCTTCTGTTGCTCGCCTGGTACTTAAGACTTTAACGAATTGGAAGTAAGTATACTATTTTTTCGTGGCCAAACTTCTTGCTGTGAAGCCAGATAAAGATATATTGAGTTATTATTCTCTAGTATCTTAATGCGTTCATTCTACAATTAACGTTGAAATATTTTCAGAGATGCGTCGCAGCGAGAAAATAGATTTGCGTAGAGCAGGACTGGCACAAAGCCTCACAATTGCGTTCGGATCTGTGGTACCCATAGCGGCATCAGTTTTCACTTTTCTTGGACTTATATTATCGGGTGGGAATCTTCTTGCTGGTGATGTAAGTTGATTCCAAGGAACTGTTTATCTTGATCTCGACGTCAATTCATCTACAATTCTCTTGACTTTCAATTTTTTTGTATCTCAGTGCTTTTTATCTATTTCATGTTTCACTATTTTGAATTAGTTTTATATTGTGAGATCTATCCCAAAATTGCTAGACTCCTTAACATTCATCTAAATTCTTGTTTTAGGCATTTAGCACTATAACGGTATTCTTTATCATGATGTTTGCCCTTCGGATGATTCCTTATGGAAGCCGTTATTGTGCAGAAGCATTTACGGCATTGAAAAGAATACAAGAGTTACTGCTTTATCCAGAATACGATCAACAAATCCCATTTTGTCAAGATGCAAATGTTGCGGTTCAGTTCAGAAACGCTACTTTTCTTTGGGATAATAAAAGTAACTTTTGGATTGTGATTTTTGAGAAATATCTTGCTTCTACATTCTTTTTATTTTCATATACCTTCCACAGTAATCTTGTTTGATTTAATAATATCGATGCCTCAATCTTGATGATTTACGCATGGTATAGTCCTGAGCTTCAGTTTTTTATGAAAGATTATAAAATTTAATCATAAAGGATATGGTAAGGTCAGGCAAATGAAATGGTGTCAAACCTGGATGAAACCAGTGAAAGAAGTCCTGTTGTTGCTAATGAACAAAGCAGTAGTGATTCAGCAGTTGCGCTTAAAAACATCACTCTCAATGTACGGAAGGTTGGTTTTTAATCTATGTTCCACTTATAGTAGATAATTTATCTCTTATTTAGATACCAAAGGGTCGGAAACTTTTAAGCAATGAAAAAAGAAAGACACTTTAGGAGTTGAAAAGAAGTGGTAATAAATTATAGCCCATAAAGATACAGGAAGTATTTTGCACTCAGTTGAGTGATATTGAAAAGATGTTGTTAATGGTTCTATTTGGAGCTAAATTATGAATTAGCAGTAACTTTATTTTCTACTGTCATTAATAACTACTGTTTAATTGCAATGTTTTAATTTGATATTCTTAGTTTCAAGCCTCTGTTTTACTTTCCAATGCATTGAAGAATTTTTCGCGACTGATGGATAGAGTAATTAATAAGATAACTAATATTAGGAAAGAAAGATATGTATCTGAGATAAATTTAAACAGTTTTAATTTTCTAATAATTTACATTTTCATAAAATTAATCTGAATTTTTAGAAAGAACTCTTGGGTATATGTGGTCCAGTGGGAAGTGGTAAAACAGCTTTGCTTAGCGCCATTGTTGGACATGTAAGTTCTTTTATAAAAAATGGATAACAGTCAGGTGCACTTTCCAAATTATTATATATTTTGTTTTTAAGTTAGTGCCAAAAGATGGCTCGTTAAATGTTTCGGGGCAAGCAGCGTTTGTAACACAGACACCTTGGATTTTGAACCAGACAGTTCAGAGCAATATATTGTTTGGTTTACCAATGAACACAAGTCGGTATTACAAAGCCATCACCGTTTGTGAGCTCACGAAAGATTTGGAAACAATGAAAGCAGGTGATCAAACCGAGGTAATTATTTAGACAAATAAACTGAAATGTACAAATGAATAACATCGGGAAGTTGAACTTCTGAAGAATGTATTTTCGTTTCGTTCACCATTCAGAAGTGCTATCTTTATTTTGATTTTCACTTATGTTTCAATTTTTCATATCGGAGAGCGAGGTGTGACAATATCAGGAGGTCAGAAAACTCGAATTTCACTGGCTAGGGCACTTTTTGCAAATTGTCGCATTTATCTTTTGGATGATATATTTGCATCCTTGGATCGGCAAGTTGCTGATCGTATTTTCAAGCGTGCTGTCAAGGAAATGCTAGCAAACAGGACTGTTCTCATGGTTACTACAGATATCCAAGTTAGAATTTTTTTCACTCTGGTTTTTCAGATTTATGCTTTTTTTGGCTTTTGGAGGGATTTTTTCATGTTATATTTCTTTATTTATTAGTTTCTAATTATCAAATCTTATAAAGAAACGTTTTTATAACAATAAATTTTCAATCATGTCATTTGTGTTCAATGATGAATATATCTTGACTGTATACACGTATATGCTCTATTCGTGTTTTAGGCCACTAAAATGATTTACTGTACTCACATGATTTGCAGTGATTTACTTTGGAAATGAATCAAATACTTGATTGAAAAAAACTGAAGCTTGGAAGTTTTTAAGATTTTAAATGAAATTCAGTAATTTAAAAAATGAAATTTTAAAATGCACTAAATTTCATTCAGTGTGTTTTAAATGAAACACTGAATTTCATTTAAAATAAAAAAAACTTAGAAGTTTTAAGATTTTAAAATGAAATAGTGTAAGGAATTTGGTGCAGCAAAACGTAAATTAAAAAATGTTCTTGGATTTGCTAATTCATGGAGTTCATTTTTGCAATAATCATTTCAAACGTGTGGTTTCTCAGTAGAATATCGAATCATGCTGTCAGTTTTTGAATTGCTACACTTTTAAGCGGTTATCAAAATGCGATCGAGTTTGTTACGTGGAAGGTGGAAAGGTTAAAGCAGTAGGTACTCATGATGAACTGTTGGAGAAATGTGAAGCGTATGCTCTTTACTGCGAACGTTCCATCTATTCCGGTTAGTCAACTAGCCTTACTCGAAAGCTGAAATTTTTGAAACTCAAAAATAAAATGTTTTCTTTCAAACCAATCATTTTCCGAATTTTCTGAGTAACTTTTTAGATGAAATTAAATTAATATCGGAAACCGCAGAGGAACAAAACGCTTTCGGAGATGATTTTGTGAAAATAGATAGGCCAAATAAAGCTGATGAATTTGCAAAAGCAACAAAAATGTCAGACGAATTTCAAGTCTCAACGTCTATGGCGAATCTTGCGAAATCCGATGGTGACGTATTCAGATACTTATAAATTACCAATAGAAAATATTAGTATTGGAGATGAAGCTTGAACTTTTGATAGTGATTCTATTTTAAAAATTTATTCTATTATCCTCATTATTTTGGTTCTGGATAAGACCAAAATGATTTTCGAAACTTTCTGAATAGGGGCAAGATATCATATAATTTAGATAATTCCATCAAATTTTTGCTACAAGCCAGTGAGCGTGTTTTTTCCTAAAATTTGCTTTTCAAAAATTAGCAGCATCTTTTAGGGCAATTGGTCATGGATGAAGAGAATTTTGGTTCGTCAGTTGTCTCCTGGACAACTTACAAGCAAGCTTTTAATTTTGAACGTATTTTGTTGCCATGTTTTTGATTGTTAACACAAAAGTTGAAATGAAGACAATTCACTTAAAGGATTTAATTTTGATATCTTGAATTTCTGGAAACTAAGTGTATGTGGTTTAGGCAGTACATCGATGCAGCTGATAATCGTTGGATTTGGGTAATACTGTTGCTCGCATTTGTTGGCAATGTAGTTGCCTCAATATTTTCTACTGCTTGGCTGTCACAGTGGCTGAAATATGGACATTCACAGGAGGTAATTTCTAATCTTCTAATGAAATGCATCTTCTAATAACACTGTTTTAAAAAAGTAACCTCGAAATCTAAAAGCAAACAGTGTAACATACCCAATGTTTAAAGTTAATTTGAATTGGAATTTATCGAAGAAGAATGTTTCATTTAACATTGGTTGACCTTAAGACATTTTCAGATTGTGAATATCAGTGGAGAAATCCGCGTCGAACTAAGTAGCATAGCTGAAAGAGAACACACTAGCTATTATGCAGTCATCTATGGATTTTCTGTAATCATTTTATTCGTTTCAGGCCTTCTGAAAGCCCTTATTTTTGTTCATGTGAGTTATTTTTAATTTTTTAACAGTTCTTCTTTTTTCGAATATTCATTTTAAATTTCAAAAAATGAATTAATTAAGAACGAAAACTCAGATATCATTAAATGCTGCATCAAAATTGCACAATCGAATGTTTGATAGTGTAATACGCGGCACTGTTCGCTTTTTCGACACAACACCAAGTGGAAGGATTCTAAATAGATTTTCAAAAGATATGGATGAAAGTTTGTTTTTTATACTTCCGACAATTTTTTTCTAAAATATTTATTAATATCTTCTTAGTATTAGTGACTTTTTCCAGAATACAAAAAAATATAATGATTAATCTTCGGTCAGTTTGCTAAACACATGAATTTGTTAATGTATTCGGGGTGTTAAAAGATATTTTGATAATTTAATTATTAATTAGAGGAAAATTAATTTTTTCCTGTCCTTTGCCGACCTCCCAGAAAAGTTTGCAATTGCTTGAACTATTGTCTTTCTTTTTTTAATTATGTTTTGAATGAAAAAAAAAATGTACATATACTGAATAAATGCAAATTCCAGTTGACGTAAAATTGCCATTCACAGTTGAAGTTTTCCTTCAAAATTCGCTTACATGTGTGGGCTTTCTGATTATGATTGCATGGGTTTTCCCATCGTTCTTGCTTCCGTGTATATTTTTATTCTGTATTTTCACTATTTTTGTCTTATGTTTTCGAGCTGGCATCACAAGGTAATTAGTATTTCAAACTGTTATCATTGAGGCTTTGAGCTAAAGATAGATTTAGAAAAAATATAATTAATTTGTGTTAGCGGCTTTTGATGTTATTAGAGCAAGTTTCAACACTGAACTTTTGTTATAACAGAAAATTTAGCATTTAATAATTTTTGATTTTGATATTTTTCAGTTTTAAACGATTCGAAAATATATCGCGTTCGCCGCTGTTTGATCATATATCTGCAAGTATGGAAGGTATCCAAACGATTCATTCACTTGGCCAAACGGATGATTTTATTGAAACTTTAAAAAGCAAGCTCGACTTGAATAGGTGCGCGATTATCTAAACTGTGTTGAATTATTTTATTTCAGTTAAAAATTGCGACCATTAAATCTTGATCCTTTTATTTTGCCTTAAATTGTAAACATTTGATATCTTATTCTTTTTATTTATAGTGACTAATTCTTTAAATTCAAAAAATTTTAATTTTTTTTAAAGTGGAGCAATGTTCATGTATCAGTCAGCAATGCGTTGGTTAGCTGTATGGTTGGATTTACTGGTTGTTGCCATTACTTTCATAGTGGCGCTATTAATTGTTCTATTGACCGGAAGTATAGCACCAACAGATGCTGGAATGGCACTTGTTTTTGCACTACAGGTAATTTTTGGGTATTTCACCAAATTTTTTGTATGATAATAAAGTGGATTTTATAAGAGTCATCGCGAAGTCAAGGTAGATCACTGATTCGCAATTGCATTATTCAGTTCAATATTCGATTAAGCGAAAATTTTTGCGAAACAAGAACAAGGTTTGATTTTGATTAATGTTGTTTCAATGAAGCAAGTGACATAATAGTACGAAATTGTCCCACTTCTAATTAAACTATATTGCAATTTGGAGCTGAAAATTCATAAAAACTTCGGTATTTATAGATGAGTGGTATATTTCAATTTGCGGTGCGCACACAAACGGAGCTCGAAGCAAAAATGACATGCGTTGAACGCATTACATATTACATCGATGTTAGTATCAATATAGAGCTTGATTTTTTTACAATTTTCCGGAACATATTTCTTTACTGCAAATGAAATTATTTACATAATAATTACCTAATACATTTGCACGGAAATGATTTCAAACGTCTCTTTGCTTCGAGTGAATTCAATTTTTTTGCTTTTTTTTAGTATAGGAAAAATGATCTGCCATTTTATGCTACGGGTTAGTACATCAAATTTGGTAATATGAATAAGACCTTAGTTTCACTAACTGTCATTACATTAATAAATTCATTAAATGTGAACGATGAAATCCGTGTAAGAACTGTATTAATGTTGGGATTATGAATGGATTAAAATGCGACATTGATCGACCTTTTTATTCTTCACCTTTTCATATGTTTTTGTAGGCAGTTCATCTTTATTTCAGCATATCGAGTCAGAAAATGATTGGAAAATTGAAAAGGATAACTCTTCTTTATCAAGTGATTGTCCTGTGGAAGGATCCATTGTTTTCAGAGAAGTTACGTAAGTCTTTCTATAAAGTTAAAATTTTTTTATAATACTACTATAAGTCTTATTTTATGTTTCTTATTTTCATATTACTGATTTTCAATTTTCATGGTCATTACATAAATATTTACATTTGCACTTCGAAAAATAATTTCAGAATTTTTTTTTGATAATGTAGATTCTTGGTTCCAAAATTCAAAATAGTTGATGTTTCAGGGTACGTTATGGGCCATATTTACCTTTAGCTCTGGATGATGTTAGCTTTAGGATTGAACCGGAAGAAAAAATTGGAATTATCGGACGCACTGGATCAGGTAAGTATGTTAACTATGACTGGGTAAAGATGCTTATTTTGTTTTTGAGTCATCTTAAATTATTTGCAAAAGCAAAATTATTTCAGAAAATTTTTTGATTAATTCGTATTAAAAAATTTGCCAGTAATACTGATGCTGCCTTATAAAAGTTGCTTCATTTTTGCAACAATGTCGAAAGTTAATGCAAGTCTTATGAAGAACTCCTATTTAATTATATAGGGAAAACATCGCTGTGTAATGTCCTCTATCGGTTATATCCACTGACATCGGGTATTATTGAAATCGGTGGTATCAACATAAATCATATTGAACTTTATCGGTTACGTCGAGCTATGGCAGTGATTCCACAGGATCCGACACTTTTTGTTGGTACCATTCGGTTTAATATTGATCCAAACAATGAATTTACTGATGATCAAATTTGGATGTCTCTTGAAAAAACTTATCTGAAAGATATGGTATGATTTTTAAGCGAAAATTTCTTTTTCATTAACATTTTACTTAGACGGTTCTGAATTTTAGCTTACCACTATCTGAGAGATAACTTAGTGTTATGCTAAGAAATATGATTTTTCCAGATAAACTACTGATTTTTACGTTTTCAGTTGCAATATTTTCAGTTCTATTTCAGGTATCTTCATTAGATCAGAAGTTGGATTCTCCTGTCACTGAAGGTGGGCGTAATATATCAGTAGGTGAACGGCAGTTGTTCTGTATGGCAAGAGCTCTGTTGAGGTTAGTCAGCTTGGATTGCCTTAAAAAAAATGGTGAATAGTTTGATACTTTTAGGTAAATCTTATTTGTTTTGTTTTGAAATTTTCGATAAAATTTTTAAATTCTTCAAATAAATTATTTTAGGCGAGTGCGAATTGTAGTATTGGACGAAGCAACAGGTAGCCTAGATAATGCCACAGACCGACATATTCAAAAATGCTTGCGTGAAGCGTTTGTTGATTGTACTGTTATGATAATTGCTCATCGTTTGGAAAATGTTTTGGGCTTGGATAAAATTCTTCATATGGAGCAAGGGAAGGTAAGTGTTCATTTCAAAGCTGATTTTTTGCCACGAAGATATAATGAATTAAACAAATTTGCTGTGAGCTATTTAATTGGCAAAAATTAAAACAAATTGGGAAGTTTTACGTTAATCTTAGTAGTGTCTAAAAATCATTATCTCTGACATTGTTTAAAATTACAGATTCCGAAGAATATAGATAAGTGTTGTAAATTTTTTCACTGGTTTATGAAATAATGGAATGACTTTAACATAACTGCCGTTGATATGCTTTTTAAAAAAATTGGTTCCTTATCAGAATAAGAAAATAAGTTTTTTCTACATTCTTGAAATTGATGAAGTTCGAAGTCAAAAATATAATTGTTGGTACTGCAGATCGTGGAATACGACACAGTGCAGAACCTAATGAAGGATGAAAATCATCCCCTGCGACGTTTACTAGATGATCAGAAGCTGCTACAAGCATTAGAGGTACAAAAAGAACAAAGCATAATGAAAATGGCAGAAAACTCAGAAGAAGCATCAAAAACTTCAATAAATGGAAGCGGTGAAAGTAGTCCTGAACATGTTCATCCGAATTTTGCAGAGGCTTCTGGTAAGACTTCTCCGGAAACATCAGAGTTTGAAAAGATTAGTGATAGTATTGATAAAGAAATTACCACTATGAGCAATGATAATAGTGACCTCGAAGTCATCAATAAGTCAGATGCCGAATCAAATTATTAAATGCATTTCGGATATCTTTTTGTACCTATGTTTTCTTTTATGTATACAGTCGATGTATGTGTGTGTGCGTATGTGTGTGTATATGTGTGTACGTATGTGTGTGTATATGTGTGTGCGTATATGTGTGTGTACTTATGTGTGTATGTATTTATGTGTGTATCCATATAAGCACGGATAATATACATCTGATCTTTTCTTAATTACCCCAAAAAATATTTAGAAACTTATGCCAATATGTCAAAAAAATTGATTTCAAAACATGTAGTAAAATTTTATGTTTTTTTGAATTGGTAACCACATTACATTTATTTTTATTTTGTTCATTTAATAATGACTCACTTTACATTTCCTATCGTGTATATGTTCTGATGCTGTCTACTTACCGTTTTTTTGTAGATAATTTCCCTTTTCCTTGCTTTCATAATTTTTGAAGCTAAATTGCTGTAGATAGTTCATTTTTGCAACTCTTTCAAGTTTTATACTGACGTTTAAAATTTTTTAACTTCGATTGTCGAAATTTTTTCTTTCATCTTCTGGGAAAATTGATAACAAGGAAATTCTGTAATGAAAGGATGATCCCGGAGTTATTAGTTTTCCATATTTGTAACCCAATCATTTATGAGAAAGCAGCAGTCTAACTGTTCCATATTTGATGAATATTTAGAGTTTTTGCATGACTTTCATAAAGTGATTCCATTTTTATCCTTTGGAATAATTGCTTGATTCATTAGAAGATGTGCCTCAAACACAAAATTTCCCTGGTTTTTTTTTTTAATTAAGCGTTTGTTAGAATTTAGAAAAGAGCTGAGTCGTTTCAGCCGCTAATCTTACCGTGTTATAGTATTTGTACTGCTGAAGGGATTATTTTAATCTAGATGCCTTAAAAACACAAATAGCTAGATTATTTTTGATTATGTTCTTATCCAATTTCCATAGCTCCCTACTCTGTAAAAAATGTAAATATTACCTTTCGCATTTTCCAACTGTTCAATATTTGTATCAAAGGAGATTCAAATATATACTTGCATATTTCTTTATCGATTTGATAACTTTATCATTGTTTTAATCAAACTCTTAATGTATCTTGATTATTTCTTTAATTTCCATTTATTAGTCTTCATTGTTTATGAAAAAAATGCTGTAATTTTGCTCTCACCTTATCAATCATAAATTTTTTAACGTTACCATCGTCTTACTATAAGATGCTTAGAACAACAGTAACTGATCAACTTTTATTTGTAGCAGATGAAATGATTTCCTATGGTAATCTTATAAAATTATTTGCGAAAATTTTGCTTGTTGTCAACTTATTTCTATGAAAACTAAAGAAAATTCTTGGGTTTGTTTATCATAGTGGTGGGAAATACCATTCTGACTCGAATTTATCACTTCGATTTATCACAAAAAATGAAACTCTGAAAATTCAAAAGAGACTCAACAGAAACATTTTCCCAACGCATACTTCTCTTATTTTTCTTCCATACCAATATCTGTAATATTTCAAGCTTCATCGGATTTCAAAAAAAAAAAATTTTAATTCTCGTTAAATTTGAGGCAATAGTTCCCAATCCTACAGTGCCGGGACATGTTTATAGTGCTAATACCTTTAATATGTCAATTTTAGAACATAATTTTTTTGCCGGTATTTTGTACATATGACGGTGCACACTTGGATCCTAAATTGGTTTCGTGTAACTCTATAAATTTTATATCAATTTGGATCACTTCCACATTAACTAAGAAAGCATTGGTTTAGTTCGCAATTTATACGTGCTTATTATGGTATTTCGTTTAGTTCAAGCCGAAATTCTTTGAAATAGAAAGGCTTACAAAGGACAGTAATGGAGCTATAAAAATTTGTATTTAATTTATTCTGAAGCTCATTGTCATTTTCTCCACGGCATAAAATGGCTACATGAATTCCGTAAAGTACATAAAAAATTGCAGAGAAATACAATAAGCATATCATTTGGAACATTAATACTATTTAATACCATATCTGTTGAGCAAATCGAATTACTCTCACCATAGCAAGAAATATGATAACACAATCAGAAATATTCGAACTGAGAAAACTAAATTCGACTTCAAATACATCAGAAATACACATATTTTTATAATCACAGTACTTGATGTTATCTCCAAAAAAAAAAAAGTATAAAAAGAAGAGATAATAAATAAACTATTTGCATTTGAATTTCAAAACTGTCATACATGGAAGAAGAGAGAGTATCGTCGAGTGATAAGATGATGTCGGTAACGATTGAAATCGATCCTTATCGCCTATATAAGCGATAATAATCGGAAATAATTTTCGAGAATTGTTAATAGATAATAAGGGATCGAGAATAGTTTAAGCCTATGCAAAAACTAAATGTTAGTCATACAAATAATTCGATCGGCAGAGTCAATCAAGTAAGTAATATATTTGTTCTAATAACATTTTTATTGTGGAAAAAAAAATCGAAACTGTCAAAAAATTCAAAGCTACTTGTAAAGATCCTCCAAAGTAAAAGAAATTTTTGGTAAAGTGTCTAAATGACAGTTACGCCAAGGTAGCAGTAGCCCAGTATTATTACCTGTTTTTTACAGACAACAATAGAATGTTTAATAATAGAGGATCAATTTTAACAAACAAATTTAAAAAAAAAAAATTCAAAACCTATGCTAACTTGATTTATAAATTTTATAAATGAAAATTAGTAGTAGTGCAGCACTGTATAAACAAAATGACGCCTTTTCAAACACTTCTAAATTCCACTCTTCTCACTGGATCCATCTCGGGATGCCATAAATCCATTCGAAGTATCAAACGATATTTGTTTGCAGATGCACCTTCAAACCATAATTCCTGCTCGAAGGAATCATCAAAAATAAGGAAACGACCAGTTTTCCAACCTCGTACTTCATGTCCCACTCGCAATCTTGCCTCTGTAACAAAAACAAATATCTCGCATAAACTTCAACAATTTCAAAATAATTTTTTAAATTTTTAAAAAAATAAACAAAGATATAAAGACGAAACCAGATGATATTATAAGACCAAGATGAGCTTGTAAGCGATAATTGGAATATCCACAATGTGGCCATACTCGAGCGCCACTTGTTAGAAGTGAAAATTTTATCTGCAAAAGGAAAAATTTTTAAACTAACGATTCTTACTAGTGAATAAATTTTAAACTAACAATTCTCACTTGAATAAATTTGGAAAGTGCAATTTCTTTTTAAAATTATCTCCCGTCGATTTCTCTTCCCTTCTCGGAATGTAACATTTGTGAAATAGCAAAGAAGATCAAAAGACGTCAAATATTCTCATAATGAGAGCTTCAGTAAGCAATGGAACTCACAATTGAAATTCAATAAAATCAATCACTGAAGAACTCACTTCACTTTTTAAGCAATCGGATGAATCCTTGAACATACGCATAATATCACACGTTTTTGGTGCTTTCAAACAATTTGATGAATTCCATGAATTACTACTATACAACAAATACGCTGACCATTGTCCATTTACAGTTAGCTCTTCATTTTCGGGCTCGAATAAATATGGATGATTGTTCAATATTGCTACCGCTTCTTCCCTAATTACCGTCCATTGTCTTTCAATTTTCTTAAAAATTAAAACATTATATACTCATACATTCGTTTCAAATATTTGTGAATGCTATTAATTTATTTTATATTGCTCTAATAATTTACTTACAATAAAAGCAATAAAAATTCATTTTTTTTCAGATTTTTTTTTGTTACTTGATTTTTAACTGATAAGCATGCAAAAATAATCAAAAATTGCATCACTATATAGCAAAAATGATTCACTTTTCACTTTTTCATAAATTATAAATATTTTTGTAAGTAAACCTAGCAAAAGAAAAAAAAAAACTACCCTCAAATGTTTTGAACAAAAAGTCTGTTCGATTGTCCACCAAGGACGGGCAGTTAAACCTTCCACATTGTAGAGAGATCGTTGATAAGAAGAAGGAAAGAGACCAATTTTTGCTCCAATACTATATACTCGATAAGCCTAAAATTACTATAGAATTAAAAGAAAAAAAGCATAAGAATAAAAAAAAAAATGCAAAGTATTTTTTTTTCTCATATTTTCATGCTAATTCAAACAAAAATAAGCAATTGAAACAAGCTAGCTTACCTCTTGCTTTTTACCCAATCGTGTCAGTGCTTCACCGAAATGATAATAAAATCTGAAAGTGATAGAAAAAAATATTAGAAAAAAATATTACAAAAGTCTACAAAATCTACAATGATATTTTACTATTTCTATTCAATTATTCTAATGATAATTAAAAAATTTAAACTGAAATATTTCAAATTTGTTGGATGAAAATGAAGGAATGAGAAGGCAATATGATAGAGGTGTGAAATGATTCGATGATGTTGAAATTAAATTGATAAAATAAAAATTTAATAAGTGAGAAGAGACAGGAAAATACCTCGGATCAGCAATTACATCACGAACACCACGCAAACCTTTTCGCATATATAACACACCATTCTCAAAATCTCCGCTTAATTTTAAAATATAACCAAAATATGCCTGAGCAACACCATTTGTTGGTGAAATTTTCAAAACCTAAAAAAAATTTAAAAATATTGAATTGAACTAGAATTAAATTATTCGATTTATTATCCTATTTATCGAATTATTATATTTATCCACTATTCATATCATTGCAATAGAGATCAGGAGGAAAAAAAAAAAGAAAGATAATTGACATTTTCAAATATCCTCCGTGCGTCATCTTCACGTCCCATCATTAGAAATGTCAATCCTTGATTATTGTATAACTGTAAATCATCCGGATATCGATCAATTAGCGAACGTTGTGCTTGTAGTACACGATGTAATAAACCAAGAAATCTTGCTCGATCGATCAAACGATATGCTGCTTGACTGAAAAACACAAAAAAAAAAAATGTCAAAGTAAGTGACAGTTATAAGCTTACTGTAAGTTACGATATTTAGAGTAACAGGTAAATAATATAAGTTAGTTATAAAAAGACAATGCTTAGCATTTTTTTCATCATCTCTACATCTTTAAGCATTAAATTTCAACAGCTTCTTTTCAAAATAACTTACCTGTAAAGAATAATATTCTTCTCTGTTTTCTTTATAGTTAATATTTAAATCAAAATTATATTCAATGATTCCGGAAAAATTTTAAAACATCTTGGAATTTGAACCTATTTATAATCAAGTTAAAATTAATATAATATTTGACTTTTTTAGAAAGCATAAAATTTACTTGAAGAGCGCATCCGGCGTATCATCCATATCAAGCACTTCTTGATACTCATTGATTGCTATATTTAGAAATGAATGATCAGATTCAATTTCACTTCTGATATCATTTGCTCGAGCAATACCGAAATGTGCCCGAGGGCTGTTAGGATTAGCCCGTAAAACATTTTCGAAAATGGCGATTGCAGAATGATAGTCATGCTGAAAATGTTGCGGCATAAATTGAGAATATTTTAAAAGCAATTATAAAACTAAAGCTCTAAAGTGCTAATTTGATAGATAAAATTTTTTCCTCCAACCTTAAGCATGTTACCTAAATTCAATAAGATATTCTAATATATGGCAACTGATTATTATTATTTTACATTTTTAAAAATCTACAATCAACATTTGTTCGTGATAATTTTTTTTTTTTACATGAACAGATATACACGAACAAAAGAAGAAAATGCATAAAAATTATATTTAAAAGAATTAGGAAAACAAAAACAAAAGCAGTAATCAATAAATCAACCATTTCCTTTTCCTCAGTATACAAATTTTTCAAAATTTTCTAAGAGTAATCGGTTAATAGTACTGAACATTCTTACTTCTTGTAAGTTTTTGTAATACTCTTAAATTGAGAGAGAAAATATCTTTTTTTACATTTAAAAATAATCCAAATAAAAGAAATATTTCCAGTTATTGAAAGATTTAAATTATAAACTGCGAATGTAGTTTATAATTTGTCGTCAGTTGAAAAATTGCTTATTTACAGAGTTGCAATTCAATTTAATTATTTAATTTGTTTTCTCGCCGTGCTGATTGCATGTACTGAAATTAAATGCATGAATTTGATTCACATATTTCTATTATTCATTTCTAATTGCTGGTAATATTTTTTTTGCGGAGAAACGCTCTTCTCAGTGTTATCAAACTAACTGCTCAACTCATCTTTGATTTAATGCTGATAATTATCATCATTTTTTTGAACTGATCAAAATTTAATTTTAGTTCAATTGTTAAATTTGAACAAAATATAATTAATCTCATCTGAATGATTCAGTTATGAATTAACTTATATTTCACCTTTACTTTTGCTTATATTTTTTACTGACCTTTTCAACGAGGTAATCAGCACGATCCAATTGATTCTGATATTTGTGATCTTCACGATTTGTTATAGCATGGCGTTTGTAAACGCTTCTATCATTCAACCTATAATATATCGAATCATTCATTAGTTGAAAAAAAAAATTGTTAGATATTAGCACCAATAATTGCTGTGCAATATCAGTACTGATAATCGTTATTTGAAAAACGATTATGTTATTTGAAATGGAAAAGCGAACTCAATTCATTTCTCATTATACTGAAATGTTAGCTTCGGAAAAGTGTCAAATATTTCATAGTTACAGTAGCAAACAAATCTCTGTCAAAAAAAGAACGAATAGACAGAGAATGTTTTATGCAATTATATTTCATTATTAAAAATTATAAAATGTAAAATAAACTGTAAATTGATAAAATAGAAATATAAATCGTTCAATATTTTTTTAAAAATAATACATCGTACTGTTATCTTTCTTGCAATTCCACTTTAATTTGTTTCAATTTTTTGCTGAAAATATAATTTTAGACATTATTACTGATTTTTGAATTGAATTTTATGCACAATAACGTGTATTATATTTTTCATTTCTAATTAACATCAAAAGCTTTCAGACAATAATAAACAAATTTCTATACAATTTCAAAATAATTTAGAAAATACTTCAGTAAGCAAGGAATTTCAAAGAAAAAAAAGATCGATAGAAGAAACAAACTTTTCCTTTTTAGTAGCAGCCAAATCCAGGATAATTTCATCCTCCTCATTTTCTTCATCCTCTTTTTTATCATTTTCATCTTGCTCTTCATCGTTATCAGTTAACTGGGAATCAGTCGGCAATTGTGGCTTATTACGATTTGATATGGAAAGCTGAAAAAACCGGTTTTGCAAATTAGCATCTAGAAAACTTGTGATATTTACAATTTATTCGACTATCAGATATAAGATTCATATGAAAAACTGAAAATTGAAGATGGATAAATGTGATAAATTATTTTTCTTTAAAACCTTCATTAATTACTCGTAGCAGTATGTGTATTCAATTTCAAAATTTTAAAATTTTTAAATCAAATGTTTTTAAATTAAAGTGGTGCTTTATTTACTCCATTAGTCGTGTTTAATTTCAAATAATCTAGTTAAAATATGAAAAGTTAAAACACACGGGTATTTGTTTTAAAAGTGACATTCGTGGATGATGATCATACTCAGGTAAGCAATTCTTTCGTTTACATTCCTAAATGAAGAATCTTAAAGTTTATTGTGCTTAAAGTTGATATTATTTTACATAAATTTTCAAGTAAAATTAAAACCGTATATATGAAATTGAAAAATAAAATTATATTTAAAATGCGTTCTTTAATGTACCATATTTTTGTTAAATTTTATTTCTTTTTTTTACTGATAGAAATATAAGATAAATTATAAATTACACGTTTCAATTTTTCCATAGATGAAATTTTTTTTCTTGATTTAATTCTCGACTTTTTCTTTCTACCAAACTCATCTTTACTCTTTTCTTCTCCTTCACTTTCCGCTCCGCTCTCTTTCTGCAATTCAATTCTATCAATAGCATTCCTTTTTTTTAAAACTAAAGCTGATATCTTTCCCAAATTTACTTTGCTAACGAACAATTGTGCTATCAATAAATCTTCCAAGCAAAACTTACTTCACGTTCCGTACTATCTTCAATTTGAATTTCTTTTTCATTTCTTCCATTCCTTCTCTCTTCCTCTCCTTCCTTTTCCTTCTTAGCCATCTTTTTTTCTTTCTCTTCCTCTTCATCAGCATTATCATCATCATTATCATTATCATTCATAACTTTGAAGCGTTTATGACGAGCCTAGCAAAAAATGTTTATTCAATGACCAGTATGCCTTTTAATGATCAAATGAGATCTTTAGAATAATCTCTTTTTTTTTTATACCTTGGCTCGTTTTGGCTTGTCCTGTTCTTTTCTTCCGCTAGTTCTATCCTTCTTCTCTTCCTCTTCCTCCTTCACATACCTATCTGCTGCTCGTTCAGATTTCTAAATCATTAATTAAAATTCAACTATTACGTTCGCTTAATCCATAATTAATCACAGTTATAATTAGAAAAAAAAGGTAACAGGAAGAAAGTAATGATAACCTTATCAACGTCACTATCATCGCTTTCATTATTGCCGCCATGAATATTGTCACTATCATCATGCTCAACATTCTCATCCAATGCTTTCTTGCTTTTTCGTTCAGCTTTTGCTCGAAGATCGGCTAGACGTGCTTCCTCTTCTTCCTCCAACTCCACTTCATCATCCAATCTATCATCATCAGCTACAAAATAATAATTCTGAATTTTGAATTTCAATGTTTTATTGAGAATAATTGGACATACATTTATTCTATTATACGCAACAATAGCAAAAATTTTAATGTACGAATCGATTTAACTTCAAACGAATCCACTTAACTTCATTTAATATATTAAATGGAATTAAGTCAATTCATACATTTAGTTTAAAAAAAAAGCACCAGCATAAAACACTTTTAAAAAATGAAAAAATTAAATTTTAAATGTAAAATCTTAGCATGTTATGAAAATGCTAAATAAATATCACATCCAGAAGTATATATACAGTACAGAGAGTGAGGGGAAGAAATACTTGAATCCGGCATATTCTGAATTGATTGATGAGCTTTTCGGTTTTCTTCAAATGTTCGAGACCGTGATATGTACTCTCGTGATGGGGTGGTATCTTTCTCAGCTCGTCGATTATGTATGGCCATCTCGTCTGCGTCATCATCAATATCGCCATCATAATCCAAGTTTTCATCGCCATCGATTTCTATCAATGAATTTTGTTGCTGTTTGTAATGTAATGCGATATTTATATAATAATTATTTACGATATTTATA